GTTTGGTGTAAAACAAACCTCTACCATATTCTCACAAAATACGCACAGCAATGCCCTTTATCACCCAAAGAAAAGAGAAAATTCTGTCGTACGACGTACATCAACTATTTTAACCATTAGATGAGACTCTGAGACGGGTTCACTTTTTCCTCCAGAGTATAGAATAATAATTGTCATTGGATCTGCAACGTGTGGTAGATACAAAACAACACATCTATATTGCACTTGTAAAAATAGACTTAAGGTCATCTCCAATGGATCAGACCATAAGGTTATAGGCTCTTTTATGTACCGTTTGGTACGTGGGACAGGACAGAACGAAGTAGGACAAAGCGTTCCGTCCCACGTTTGGTGTGCCTAAAACGGGTGGAACGCGTTGTTCCATGAGACGAGTATTGGGTGAATTTTCGTTCCGTCTCACCCCCTGGAATGACTCGTTCCACATATATAGAACACAAAATTATAACATTTTAAGACAAAAATGCCCCTCCCCCATTGTCTCTTTCCTCATATCTCAACCTCTCTGTCTCCTTCTTCATCCACACTTCCATCCGAGCCCTAGTTTTCCACCGCATCTTTGCTCCCTCCCTTCGTTTTCTCTACTTTTTATTTTGTATCGAAGAAAAACGACGATACAAAATTCACATAAATAAATTATTTCCAATAATCAAAGTAAATAAATAAATAAATAAAGCGGAGAATAATGGGAAGAGAGGTTCCACAACAACAGCAGGTGGCGCTCACGGTGGAGCAACTGCTCGCCGTGAATCCGTACAACCCTGACATCCTTCCCGATCTCGAAAACTACATCAACGAGTAACTATGTATCTCTCTCTCTGTCTCTATCTTTGTCTCTTCATTGACGGGAACCGATACTTGGGTTTCATTAATTTTGATTGAATGACTGGGTTTATTTGGTTGTTTTTCCAGGTTTCTTCGCAAACCTATAGTCTCGATGCCAATCTCTGCCTTCTTCGCCTCTATTAGGTAATTTGAGAATTGGGTTTTTAATTTTAATTGATTTTTGTTTTATAATTATTGCAAAAGTGAATTCTTTTTAATTGGTTTATGTTTTGCAATCCATAATTTCCTACAAAGATGAATGTTTTTTAATTTGTATTGTTTTAGGATTCATAATTTACTGAAAAACGGAATTTTTAGTTGGTTTTTGTTTTAGATTATATAATTTACTACAAATTCTTTAGTTGGTTTTTGTTTTAGATTGTATGATTTACTGCAAAGCTGAATTCTTTGTAATTGGTTTTCGATTTTCGATTCTATAATTTTGCAAGCGCCGAAGAGTTTGCTGAGCGTGATGAACACTTACAATGTCGGCGGAAGCCCCGCAGTCTTTGCACCTCCAGTTGTGGCTCCATAGTCATTCAATCTTTTGGTTCCGTTCAGTCCAACACATACCAAACACAGAACGCGGAACAACCATCATGTTCCATCCTGCATGTACCCATTCCGTCCTGTCTCGTCCCGTTCCATCCCATTCCGTTCTGTCATGTCCCGTCCCATTCTGTTCCATCATGTCCCGTCTACGTACCAAACGGTACCTAGGAAAAAATCATCTCCAATGGAGGTCCATGCCAAAGGAAAAAGAAGATCCACTGGGCCAAACCTCAGCCCATGGCCATCGGGCTAGGCAATTGAAGCCAGCCAACCAGCCCGAAAAGCTAGGCCCAGCTGTCAACAACCTAAATGTTAGCTTACATAAACTAGCCATTGGATTTAAAATAAAATAAAAAATTATTATATTTTTTTAAGACGAAATTTTTTTTAAAAATTAAAAATTCTAATTTTTCCTATAAATATTTAAACCATTTCTATATCATTTCTCACATCCTTTTCACCCTTCTATACTATCTTACCTCATTTTATTTCAATTCTTCACATTCTTTACACTCCTATTCGAAATTTTTTTTAAGCAAAACAAACATAACGTTCCGAAAATTTATTAAGATTACATAAAGATAAGAAATATGGAGTTACTCAAACAATAAAATTAAAGAACAAACTTAAAATAATAAATCATTGAAGGGACTAAAAAATAACCCCATTCGGTTGGAGATGATATATAAATACGGTATGTCAATGTTCATTAAAAAATAATTTCTTGCAGGGCTATAATCGGAAGCTAAATATAGCCATTTCGGTTGGAGATGACCTAATCGACCGGACTTGCATTAGAGAGGAGCCAAGAACTTGTAGGCTGCAATAATGAAAACTAAAGCTCAAGATTGAACACCGTATTTGAGTGGTATAGAAGCAAAAAATAGTTTGATTAGCGATCAGGCATGCCTTACAACAGAAAAAGTGTGAAAAAACAATAAAATCAAGGATCATAACTTGCGAAGATCAATCCCGGCCTTCTTGGCAACAACATCAATCCCATTCTTCTCTATGGTCTTCAATGCTTTGGTTGACAAGCGGAGTTTGAGAAAGCGCTTCCCAGCTTCCCACCAAACCCTCTTGTACTGCAGGTTCACAAACTGCAACTTCTTGGTCTTGTGGGCTGAGAAGGAGATCTTGTTTGCCCTGTTTGCTTTCTTCCCAGTGAAATGACAAATTCTACCTGCAACGGTCGATCAAATCATAAGGTAAATCAATTTTCAACATTCTAACGAAGATTAGTAAATTAATGAACGACCAATTGGCCGCGAGAGTTGAGAACAAATGCAACTACAAGGCGGATGCTATATCTTAAACCCCCAACAGGCCAAAGAAACACCGAAACTCTAAAAACTGCTAACGAACTAAGACATTCCTTTGAACTCTGGGAAACAGAAGCCTAGGGGGCAGACAAAAAACGACGCTATGCTAAAGCTCAGTTAAACCAGCTCCGACGAAATCTTCAAAAATCCATCTATTCCTCTCCATCTAAACCACCCAAAACAAAGCAAGGATCATACTACTCTTTTCAAACAATCTGATAACCAAATTGCCAATCAAGACTGTCGACATCGAAATTTTCGTGTTTACAAAGACAACCCATTTACATTTTTTTCGGATTAAAAAAATGGAAAGCATAGTCAATTATTCTAGCATCAGACTATCTGGTGACCAAAATCACTGTGTTTCCCTACTACCATGTAAATCAAATGCATTTGTACCCATATATTCCCACTCCTAAAAAACTAACGAAATGAGTAGACGTGTGTTAGGCCAGTTGGTTCGAGCAGCACGCCCACCCCCCTCACCCAAGTTTGAATCCAACTCCCCACAAATTACAGTAGTTTAGAATATCGTTGTGTCAAATAAAGAAAAACAACGAAATGAAACAATTAGCTGAGCTTCATTTCTAAAAAAAAAAAAATGAACAAATAGTATTATCTACGCTAAGGGATAAGGAAGTAAACTAAGCCTCATAATGGACACGCAACAATATAGTTAATGTGGTTCAAATTCGTCTTTGCAAGAAATGAAACGTAAAACCTCTCACTTGAGCAATACCACATAGAAATGGCACATCAAAATTTTCATCATGCAGAACAATTCTCCCATTCTTGTCCAAATCTGAGAAACTAAATATTAAGTTTCCATAAATGCACTTAAATTACATAATTGACAAAAATTAAAACTGATTAACCGTAAAAATATAAAATACCAATATATTAAACTGCGAAAGAATACATGGGATGGGAGATAGAAGGCGAGAGAAATTACGGGCAACGATGGGCTGAAGGCCGGGAAGGGAAGGAGTGGAGATACTTGGCAGCTGAGACGACATGTCGTAGGAGATTCTGACGCCGCTCAGCTGACTGGTAACGAACCGACGTCGGAAACTGCCTCCGCCTTGAAGGGCTGCAGGAACCGCTTGGAAGCGTCGGCCCTGTGGAAGCATGGAGTTCGGGTGGTGCCGAAGAACACGGTGGCTGTTGCCGATGCTGCTGCCATTGCTGCTCTGCTCAATGAAGAGCTCTGGGTGCTCGTTATCTGTATTTTCTGAAAGCGGAGTTTGCAGTGGATTGAAGCCTCTGGTTTTGGAGGGCCATAACCTCAAGTCTCAAACCTGTATATTATTCCCAACTTTTGTAGCCATTGAATTCAAAATTTATAGAGTAATGTAATTAGAGAGTGGCATTTTTGAAATTTACATGCTATTATTATTTCTGAGTACATTCGATATATTTTTACTCTAAACTAATTTACAGGGAATTGGAAGCAAAAAAATTATATATATATATATATATATATATATATATATATTTTAAGAAAATCGGAGGGTTTGAACATGGAACATACTGGGTTAAAGAGGATTCTTAATCACCAAAACAATTCACCACTTGTTATATTTTTACTCCCTACTTTAAGTAAAGAAAAGGGAGCAAGCCAAACTAATAAATGTAATTTTTCTTTCATATGACGTTTTACTGAGTGATCTGAAAAATCAACTATTAGCTTCTAAATCTTTGCAAACATTATATCTTGCATAAAATCCGTACAACTGAGTGGGACATAGCATTGTAGTGGGATCCAATAAAATGAGAACAAAAGTTACAAACAATAATTATCTATAATTAAAATAAAATTTAAAAAGAAGCAGATGACATTTTACCCCAATAATGAAAAGTAATATGTGTATGCACCCTGGTATGAGTTCGATTTTCACTGATTTCCTCTCCCTAATAGCTAACTGTCTAACCTTCTAACTATATCGCTCGAGTAAAAAATTAAAAAATTAAAAAAATAAAAACCAACATTCTCCTTCCCTTTAATCATGACAATTGCGGTGAAGTAAACAATCTTCAAATTGGGGATGTTAACTTGTAAGGGTAAAACGGGTATTAGAGCAACTACAATAGAAAAATGCAAATTTGAGATATAAAAACAGTATTTACATCTCATTCTACACTTGAGGAAAATGAAGCAATGGTTCCTCATTCGTCAACCCCGTTAGAGCTTACAAGTGTCGTTACGAGTCTAATCCATCCATTTTGCAGGTTTGTTTATTTTTATGAGGGTAAAAGTAAAATAGAGTTGAGGGAACAAAAATAGAATATTCAAGATGGGTTTAGAAAAAAGAAAACTAGACAGAAGACAGCCGTCTCAAGTACGTAGCTGGATAGAATGAAAGACGAGACAAGCATGCATGTACAGAGGTTGTGTTCGTCGAATTCTTTTTCTACTTGTTTTACTTATTACTTGGATTGTTTTCCGCATCGGTACGAGTCCGTTCAACAAAAACACAAAATATGAAAAAGAGAATCATAATCCTATTCCCGCAGAAGACACAACGCAGTTGCTGCCGCCACCACAACCACCTCGTCAGCAGCCACAAGGGTAGTTTCCCTAAGAAAATCACCTCCGCTTTGAATTCGACCTAGGCATTGCAGCACAAAAATTTCTAACCTGCAACAAGAAAACAGCCCCAACCAGATTTTGTCACCAAAATCGCCCCACCAGAATTCGACCAAGGCATTACGAAATGAGCATTGTCACGAGCAACCAAATACGCTCAATTTGGAAACTGAGCCTTGTAATGATCAAGTGAAACATACTCCACAGTCACAATACGATCCTCAAAAGCCCGTCCATGTAAACAATGTGCTGCCTTTAAAGAGGCTTCTGCTCTAACAAACTCCACAAAAACACACCCGGGCTCAAATCTTCTTGCAAGATCATAATCCTGGTCCTTCCCATGATCCTTTTCATTAATTTCACTCTTTCGAATAGCATCTGATTCTGTTCCAGCACTGCCCTCCTTTCCAGCAAAAGTTTCTTCTCTCTCAATACCAACTTCCTTTAGAGTTGAATCCTCTTTAGCCATTGATTTGCTTTCCAAGCTTACGTCCTCTATTTTAATATCAGTAACCAAATCATCACAGCATTCCGAAGCATCTTTCATACCGTTCAGCTGGTTCGGGTGTTCCCCAAGAACATTGTTAGGTAGGTTGTCGCTTCCTTCAGCTTTCATATTATCATCTGATTGACCCATTTGACATGATTTTTCCTCTCTAAAACCATCTGCAGGCTTATCATAATAGAACCGGTTGTCTTCTGTGACTTCCTCTTCTTTTACTTGTTTGGCATTGTTTGGAATCTCCAGTCCACTAGTTTCCCTGGTCTCATTTGCAATATGTTCTTCTTTAGCGTCTATTTTTGCTCCAGTTTCTTCGGACTCTAAGCTCTTCTGGTAGCCTCCAGATTTCGCATCATTAACAGCTTCAGATGTCCCTGGGGTGATGATGTGATTGTTGCGATACTTGACAACCTTTGCAGATTTAATAGTACCAAACCTGCATGATTTAAGGGCTTTAACACTTACTCAGATAAAGTTTAAAAAGAACATGAACAAAAAATGAATGCGAAATTTCTCGGGGACCTGGCACACTCTAATCGCACATCTTCCAGAACTTCTTCCATTTCTGGTTCTGAGAGCAGTGAGAAGTGCTCAAGATTGAACTAATTCACATCGAGGAACAATTAGGAAAATGATAAAAAAAATTGATCCCAATATATTATACTAACAAACTCAAATATCCCATAAAAATTGTCAGATAAAAAACAATTCATCAAATAGTTCTTACTACAAGATACCCATTGTGTATTGTTTAGTTTTTCTATTCACCGTATGATTTTAAAATTTGTCTTGGTGACGAGAAAGTAAAAGACAAAGTCAGTTACTATAAGAAAAAAGAATTGAAACATAAAATCAAGCACAACCGCCATACCACATTTCTAAGCTTTAGGACCTGCGATGGTTGTTGGAGAAGTGGCTTTGCATATTCTGGTATCTCATATGATGTATTTCCACAATTTTCCTAGCATAAGTTTAATTCTTCCATCAGTAAACATGTCCAAGTAAAATAACAAAAACGGATAATGAACATCGTCTGAAAAGGAAGAGGGTGAAATTTGTACCAAGGATGATGCACCATGAATTGCTTGAACTGCAGTTAGCACTCTCCCTCCCAATTTCATACCGTTCAGACCCGCACATGCTTTGAGAGTAACTGATTGGTCTACATACTGACACAGCATCCAGATCTCATTAGCAAAAAGGAGGGGGCAATGGCAAACAACCAAACAACTAAAAGATACAACACTAGAGAGTTCAAAATCAACAATGGCAAACAACAACAAAAAGGCATGCGTCTTTTCCAAATAAATGTACTAGTACAACATGGTAATCAAACTACAAACAGATAAAATTGATGCTTACAAAAAACTTAGTACATATGTTTATAAAGAATATGCTTCAAAATATACTTCAAACAAAAATTAACTTGAGCCTTCAATATGCTCTATTACCTCCACAAAAGCACACGGTTCATTAAGTTTCTCGTTGACTTCAAAGTGGTATGCCTTCAAAGGTCCAAAGACACTAATTATCTCCAAAAGCTGGAAAAGCAGCATTAATGGCCAAGTCACTAAGTAGGTCAATGAACATAGGAACTGAAAGATGGGATCAAATTTGTTGGGAAAAGAGAACTATATGAATAATTAACATCATTTCATATTACCATTGTTGATGAAAGAGCATTTGAAATTCCACCAATGAAAATCTGCATAAATAAGCAGAGAACATGAAAGAAGTTCCAGGTATCAACAAAAGAAAGCAACATATCACAGCATTGAACATGTGGTACAGAATCAAAGAAGAAGAAAACATTTGAAAATTCAAAAAATCTGAAGCATGGCTATATTAGTAGAAGGTAGAACCTAGATGCTAGACATCACATGAAAAAGGGTTACGACCTCCCAGAAATAAAAAAAAATTCATGCAATAAGATAGATGACAGCACGCATAGATTTAGTCACAAATAAAAAAGTAGCATGTTGGTACACACTAAAGAGACTTCACAAATCACTAAAACACAAATGTTCTCTTGATGCATAGGAGCTAGACAAATGATTTATGCATTAAGGTATAAAGAGTAAGACTTAGGTACAACTCCTTATGTCAGGTTCCATAGGTTACGTTAAAAAGGTATAATTTGATGATCAGATTCAAGATTACAATTCATTACACTCTTGTACAATAGATGTGTACTATCACAAAAGTTCATTAAATTTTAACATCATAATGAATGTCACAACTTGCAAAACAAGTAAACTTTTCTTAATAAACTTTTTTTTTTAAGACATTGGTCATGACCATCACAGTTGATGCTGAATGGATCCTAATGAACTTCAACTGTATATTTCACATTATGAAACCCTTGACAGGGAGAGTGAGTCACAGTTAACTGGTTCATTGTTTATTCTTTTGATAAAATTAATCTGTTGTTTATTGCACACAAACCTTTTGACCTTTTAATGTGCTACCCATCTGTATGATATTTCTAGTACAAATATTATCTGACTCAGGATACCTTGTTGGGGGAATCCTTCACAACATCACTCATTGTCTCAACCGCGGCCATTGATTTCTCTGGATCACCAGTCTGCATGAAAATAGCAACTGTCTGAAAACCTGCTCCATGGATAGTAAGCACAACATACCTCAGAATTTGCAAAGCAGTAGTAGAAAGTACTTCAGCCAAATAAAGTTTAAGCTTATAGCAAAGAAGAGTATAACCATATTGTAGGAACTAAAACTAAAAATTTAACGAAACCAGGGCTTCTGATTTCACTTATGTTATCCAGAAGAAAACATGCATAAATACGATTCATTGTAATTAATTTGTTGGTCATATTTATATTTAATCAGATTGAATCTACCAAACTCCATAAAAGATCCTTTATGACAATCTCAATTTCAAATTTGAAAAATTGGTAAGGTAAACAAAAATCAATATGGTCTTTTATCAATGACATTAATTCGCATCCCGAGTAGGAAACCATGTAATTGACATATTAGGTATTATTTTCATCCCGTGCTAATGGTTCCATCAAAAATCTAATTAATTTATCATTCATTGAGTAGAGATATATAAGGTTCAAATTTGATAAGAGTATAGAGTCAATCCAATGAGATCATCCATTATTCCAAGAATACCAATAAGCATTTACAGATAGAAAAATGTCAGGTTAGTCATTTAAATGGAAGATAATTTCAATAAATTGTTAAGTTGAAAAAAAAATAAAAATACATAATAGACTATAGTGCATCCATGATAAGCTAATAAGCTAGCCTGTAGGAAAAATGAATAATGAATACAAGTCTACAAGAGAAAACATTTGGCCAGATGGTTTGTTCCCATGAAGGTGTGCAACAAGACAAAAGGCAAGACTGATAAGGATGAATGAGTTTATTCGGCAAAGGACAGACATATGAAAATCACCAGAGGACTTGAATTGATCTGTAACTGTAATAGTCTAATAGTCTAATAGTCTAATAGTCTAACACTGCTACTATCTATCTCTGCCCCACTCCCTGACGTCATAATTGGGCATCTCTGGACTGGCTGGAAAAACTGGATGGCTACCATCTATTTGTCTAGAGCTCAAAATGGCAGTACTTATAATTATACTAATTAAACAATTAAGCACAGAATCATCCAGTGACAACAGCTAGACTCCTCAAAGCATGTTCCTTTTTTTCAATTATGTGTGGTGATGCTAAATACAATACTCAATGGACAACCGAAATTTCAGTAAAGTTTCAAAAACACTATAAAATAAGCCTATTACAACATGCTTATCGTGAAAAGGATGAAAGCTTATCAAGGCTCAAGGAGCAGATAATACCACTGGGAATGAGAGAAGGTATCCTAAAAGACAATATTAAATGCAATTTTTATGTTGAACATTAAATCAAGCCAACATTGGGGTCCATATCATTAATATTACTGCTTAAAATCCTAGATCAGTGACCCAAGTCCAAATCAAGAGAAGAAGCTGCAAGCACATCAAACTTGTCACTACACCTGGAAATCTTCTTATTTAGGAGTCAGCTTCATCACCATCCTGAATGTGAATTACGACACACCCAACATAAACATCCTATTTAAGAGATTACAACATGACAGTCAGAAAAATTCTGGTGTAACAGGACAAAATAAATAATTCCATGTACAACAGAAAGCTTGTGAAGCTACAGAAACGTATCCCAATGTTATATTTAACAAGCAATCTTGATTCTGCTTCCAAGGTGAAATAAATAACAAGGCACCTGTGAAAACTAAAAATGCCACCAACTAAAATTTCACAGCAAATAACCAAACCCTAGTCTTAAGGATATGTCCCTATGACCAGCTCCATCTACAAAAGGTGCAATGACCAGGAAGTCAGGAACTCAAGAATAGGATAGATTCAATCCAATTCGGCTCGGCATTTTCTTGCATTTCATATGTCCATCCCTTCCATTTCATAAAGAAAAGAAGCGATGGAAGTATGAATAAAAAAAAAAAACAAATAGCCAAAGAGCAAACAAAATAACCACTTTGTTAGATTATGTAATTTGAAAAGCTATTTGTATTGAATGATTTCGTAGTAGTCACCCCTAAGACATATATGAAATAATAGAAAATAACAAGAAATAATATGTCAAGGATTCCACAGAGAAAATAACTGAAATACATTGTCAACATATAACAGAGAAAAATAAGTGGTTAAACAGCTAAAATAAGAACAAAAAATTCAAGTAGCATAACTGCATAGATCGTATATCAAAAGAATAAGATCAAACAACTAAAAAGCAACATAAACCAGTATAAAGTAACAATGGGATAAATAAATAAATAAATAAAATAAAAAAGGTAAGATGAGAGGAAAAAGTTATTTAATCATTCTTACAGCCACTTCAACAAAGTCTTTAGGGCGCCTTATTTTGAGAATAGAACCAGAGATGTCAGTGCCATCAAAAGATAGAGCAGCTATAGCGTCTTCCGGTGTAAGAAACTCCACAACAGCTTGACCTTTGTCTTTGGTAATCTGCAGTTAAAATAGTTAAGGCAGGCCTCATCCCTAAGTCATAATTGCTGTATCACAGGGATAAACATTCAAAATTTACTACGCTTACCGCACAACTAATGCATGGGCGTGTTCCTGGGATATGATTGACACCGGAAGACAACAAAACATTATTAAGAGATTCCACTAAAGTATTCTCAGAGGTTGTAGACGGAACATTGTCTACATAAAGCCTCCTCATAGGCCGAGTAGCTTGTGTTAGTTGGACCGAGTCAACAGAAGCATTCTTCTTAGTCAATAAAGAATTAGGATGAACCCCAGATATAGATTTCCTAGTAGCCGAAGCAACAGCAACAGCAATGGCCATCTCATGTACATTTGAAGACATGTTACAGTTTGATGAATTAAAAATAGAAGCAATCGAACCAGATAATACCTTGTCAGTTGCCGTAGGGGGATGATCCCACTTGGCACTTTTCTTTTCAGGCGAACGGTCAGGTGGGGATGGAGTCTTAAGAGCAGACTCGGTTCTTCTCTTCCTCGGTGAATAACCACCAAGCCTTTTCACCGGCCCACCATGTCGGCGATGGTGGCTATTGGAGCCATTATTAGATATTCTACTCCTGTCAATATCAGAATCCTGTGTTCCAGGCCTGTCTTTGAGTGAATGTGAAGATATCTCGCTGCGGATCCTCAAATTATGAGATGTATAATTGTGTGCCCTTGGTGAGGGAGACCTAAATCTATGTGTATCTTCACGGTCTCTACTCCTTGACCGTTCCCTTTTTAGCCTTGAATTTTCGAAATTGGATTTTGATGGTTTTTTCCTCTCCTTTCTCTCTGAAGTTTCTAACAGATGATGTTTCCCTGAATCATGCTTCTTTGCAGCATTTCTGTCTCTAATTTTTTCATCATATCCATTTTGGTATTTTCTCTTGGCTTCTCTTTCAGATCTTCCTCTGTTTTGGCTCATGTGTCTCTCCTTTCCTGTCAAATCCCTTGAATGCTTCTTTATAGATTCTTTTTGGAAGTTATCTGAGCGCTCGTCAATTTTTCTCCTACCATGTATTTGTTTTTCAGTTGTGCCTCCTTTAGCTTTAGTTCTTCTATCCTTGCTCGGTTTATCCTTCAAGCTTTCTGGCTCATGCCCTCCCCTAACTTTCCCTTTGGAAAAACCGTCTTCCGTTTTAGAACTCTTGGAATTATATATTTCTTTCTTTCTGGAATATGCCTTCACTGGATCCTCCGAGGCAGGCTTTTTATCAACAGGGGGCAAATCTTTATGGTGTCTGTGATCCTTTTCAGACTCAAAACTCGCAAAAGAATTTTTAACCATAGATTCCCTTGGTACATTACCTACATCTACGACTTCCTTTACAACACTATCACATAACTTCTTGTTATTCCTCCTAAGCATAATCTCTTCAAAGCTGAAAGGCCTTGTTCTAGCAGCGCTTTCTTCATCATGGTTAGGCAGGGCAATCTGGCTAGTTTTTCTGTTAATTTCTTGTAGCTGACTAGACGTGCTCATCTGTCCCAATGCAAGTGCAGTTAAACAATAATTGCTGAGGTTCTAATAGAGCATAGAAACAGTTTAAACCAGTGCGCAAAGAGGTTAGTAGCAGCCTTGTTTTCTATTGACAAGTCAAAGTGAATATCGCTGCACCAAGAAAAAAATGCACGTGATATTAGTCAAAGACCCATGTGGATCAACAAATTTTAGCCCCACTCACTACATTCCAGAACATAATGATAAAATAGTTTCGAACAATTCATGGATACCAAGAAGACTGTAAAAGGAAAAGAAACTATAAAATCATGAAAACTAGTGAAGCAGATCTGCATATTTGTTTTATACATGCTACATGATTGTGTGTCTGTATCATGTAACAAATTTCTTAACTATATGCATGATAATAAGGACAATTTTCACTCCAAAATGTACACCATTCATGAAATGCAATCAAAGTTAAAAAAAAAGGCCATTGGAAACTACCCGTGTCTTTCTGTGTGGTACAGTAATACGCATTTGTAATAGCACATTAACGTCTTTTAGAAAACCAAAATCGATCCAAAGTTGATGAATTGTCTAGTGCATGCATGTGACATTCACTGCTAATGTATGCATCCATAAGTCTTTTACACTCCTAAGCTGTCGCACTTTTGATACATTATGATTCGTTTCCTACATTACCACACCAAACCTACCTAAATTATGAGTTTCATTCAAAAATACAACATTAAGATATGGAAAAGCGAAAAAGGTTAAAAGTATACAATTATTTATTCATGAATATATAAGTTACAAAATATGGGTAAGAACATTAATGATTTGTCTCTTTTGAACATTATGTACTATACTTCATCAAAATTAAAATGGCACCCAAGAATCAAGTAATTCAGCCAATTCTTTGGATTAAACACAGCATTCCCACTTTCACTTTCATTATCTTTTCTCTGTTTTCTCAGCAACCAAAGGCAACAAAAGCCCAGTTAAACCCCAACTCCAAGTTGCAGAAAAGCATTACCTCAACTTCTTAAGAAACGAATAAAGAAGCTACTTAGATAAGAAACGGTTATCTTTGCAGAAAAGCAGAAGAAAAGGTTGTACCTTTGGGCCGGAGATCCGGCGGCGAAGTAGGCCGAGAGAGGTGACGTTTCCGAAGGCTTAGCGGCGGCAAGAGGCGGAAGTGGTAGTGGGGTGTGGAAGAGAGTGCAAAGGCATTTATGAATTGGTGGAGAGGGAGTTCCGGAGTTTGGGGGAATTGGGAAATTGCGAAAACGGGAAAACCTAATTGAGAAAGCAGAGAGGTGGTGGTTTGTTTATCCGCACACAAGGAATAGGGGTGTGCATTTCAGTCTACCGACTAACCCACCCGATTTGGGTTGGGTTGATATGGGTTGGGTTGGGGGTAGGGTAGGGTAGGGTTGGGTTGGGTTGGGTTGTAAACCTAAAAAAATTTATTTCTATTAAGTTACTCAGTTAATAGGTGGATTGTGTTAAGTTGAAGTATTATTATTTTGATTAAAATTTATCCACTCGAATGACAATAGTTTTTAAACATACATGTATGATATATATTAAATAAATTTATACATGAAATTTAGTAACTTTTAAATGTACTTGTTTGTAATTTAATGCTTGATTTGAATGGTGAAATTTATGTATTAGTAACATGTACTGATATGACAACACCAAACATGATTTAGGCCTAATTTGACGTATAATTATATGCTCTCATACTTACATTAAGAATAAGAAAGAAACCGACCAAGCCCAACTCATGGAATCTGCCCAACCCAACTCGCCTAAGAATGACTTTGGATGGGTTGGGTTGCCGATTTTCTTAGGTGAAAAGAGTTTGAACAGTTCCAATCCAAGCTTATTGGATAGGCCAACAAATTAAAGTCTAAACCGACCAACCCACCCGCACCATCCCTACAAAGAAGAAAGTTGTGCTTCTGCGAGGAGTTTGGTTTGCCCTTTTGCCCGCACTTGTATTATGACACTTTCATCCATCCCTCTATTTCTTTGACACTTAATTGGTTTATGTAAATCATCAATACTTTACATAATTTATACCAAATGGAGAATTTTTTCTGTTTGAAACCGGACTAGAGCCAATGAAAGATAGGGTGTGACTAGAGAGTGTTGTAGGTGTGGGCTTAAAAATCAGGAGATGCCGTAGGTGTGAATTTTTGTTTCTTGGCTGGTCGTCAATTGTTATGCTATTATTATTATTTTTATATAATTACAAATTTACAAGGAATATTATTACATTAAGCTAGATTTGAATTTTGAATGTAATATGTCGAAAAAAAAGGCTAGCTATTAGTGTAAAACACCACTTTTGCGTTGTCGCATAAGTAGAGTAGTAGAATGATAAGATCACGTAAATGTACTTCGTATTAAAATAAAAAATTATTATTGACACTTCAAAAATCTCATTTTACACTCCAAATTTTCTACAATTAGAAAGAAAAATACACGTGTGAGAAGTTGTTTGGGCCCAAAATATTGGTTTGGGCCGAGTTTAGAATTGTTCTCAGCCCGAAAGCGTTGCTCAGGGGCTGGCCATGTCCTATCAGGAAGGGGTAGTTGAATCCTAATACAAAAAGGAGTCTCGGCAGGATGAGGATGCAGAAGCTTGGGAATGAATGTGGCCTGATAAGGGGTTGAGTTCAAAGTCCTAATAGGAGTAGGACTGGCCGAGATAAGATTGGATCGGGGTACGGAGTCCTAATCCGAGTGTAGTTTTGATTCGATCAGAAGCAGGTTTGCTACTATAAATAGAGGGAGGAGTGCATCATTCAAGCCCCCTCCAATTTAACACACAAATTGCCCTTCGCAAACTCTCTCAACAACCTTGAGATTTTTATTTTCTTTTTCCGCCAACACATCTTCAGTTTGGATAAACAGCATTGTGAAGGCAACCAGTGATACCTTTAGTTTGGATAAACAGCACTATTGCCGTATAACTAGCCGACCGCGGAACACCTTCAATTTGGATAAACAGCACTGCGTCGAGGTTGACTAGTTATCTATCCAAGTCTCGGTCGAGAAAGACTTTCGAGTCTTTATTAGCAAAGGTCATCTCATTAGCCCTTTTGGCGAGGTGAGGTGTTACAGTTTACCAGCGCTCAACACATTGAATGCCGAGCTATTTTATGATTGGATACTCACAAGTACATTTTAGAGTTCGGCACGCCAACGGCCGAACTACATTCACCATCAAGACATTTATCTCTTTCGAGTATTTGTGTCCGTATAGTCTAGTACCGATTCGGCGTAGTTACATTCTCACAACTAATATAACTAAGACCGAACCCGGCACCGACAATCCGTGAACTTCGCAGAACTAGTAGCCTTGTCTTCAGGCTGTAGAACCCAAAGGTTGAGAGTGTTCCTTCCTCGGCTGCACATTGGCCCCTTTGTTAAGTTACACACTTCCGCTTTTTGGAATGACAAATGGTGTTAGTATTCACAACTTTAAGGGATGTTTTAGCAAATTATTTTAGAAAGTGACCAAATTGTTACATACCTAAACCAGACAATTGCAAAATGTGGTTGCCTTTAGGTTGGAGAATTGCGAGTGTACCGTAGATATGAAGACACTATGAGAAATCATGTTTCTTGTTTTCTTGTTGGACAAAGCATATAGAAACAATCTGGCTCAAATTTATGGTGGAGTGGAGTCACCCTCAATGTCTCCAAAACATGGCAATATGGAGGCACTCCCTTACGGCTGGGATCCTCTCCGGATTATCTTTGTGAGGATTCTAGGGATCTTCATATCCTATCCGTTCATCGTACATCGTGCAGTCAATTTTCGTTAGATACTGTGTGTGTTTAATCTAAACTACATATGCTAAACTACATATTAAAACAACTCTCATTGTCAACCAAAACATTATGAATTTACCATTTTAATCATCTAATTAAAACTTAACATGAATAAGAAATATGGGCAGAAATGTAATTTCACACAACTAAAATTTTGTTGTTTTTTTCAAGGCCTCACTTACATGTAATTCATTTGGTTCCATTTGGATTTGTGAGGATCTTAAGAATCCTCACCCCTTATCCGTTCATCGTACATCATACGGTCATAAATTATTATGATTTTTTTATTTAAAACTAACATATGGCCACACACAAAGTGCCTATCAAAATTTGTTTGTTTGTTTGTTTTTTTTTTTTTAAATAGGAGAGCGGAAGAGAGTGAGGGAACGTGGGAGTGGGGAAAGAGGGAAGGGGAAGGGAAGGGAAGGGGAGGGGAGGTGCGGGGGAGGGGGGAGCTTCAATTTTTTTATTTATTTTTTAATTAGAGAGAGAATGGCTGCCCTACGGGGAATAAGGATCCTCGCTAGATCCTTTTTGTGAGGATCCTGGGAATCCTTAAATCACATTCATTCATCATATATCGTGCGATCAGAAATTATTGTAAATTTTTTTTATTTAAAATTGAATATAAACAGTACATAACGAAAACTGATTATCCAGTGTACAATGAACAAGTGTGATTGAAAGATCTCCGGAATCCTCCCAAAAAGGGTCCAGCGAGGATTCTATCTCCCCTAGGAGAGGCCTTGTTGTAGCCTTGATGAGCCTTAACAAGGGGAAGAGAACTGTAAACAAATTGAATCATCCAAACAACATAAGGAAGAAAATAGGCTGAGAAGATTAATAAAGGCTTATTATATTAACACCCCACAAATTGTTGAATAAACCTCACCCACTTAATACACCCCACATTTGCTTTTTCAATTAAAAATTATCTAAATACACCCCATATACTTCCTCATAATATTCTCACACCCTACATTCTCAACATACACCTTACATTTTCTACATACACCCCCACATTCTTTATACACCCCACATTTTCATACAAACACTGGTTTTTATATCTCATTTCTTTTTTTTGTTTTTTTTTTGTTTTCAGACATAAATTTTGCAGAGTTGCTGCTTTCCATGGGGCAGAAAATGAGATCGAATCCTATCTCCAAATTTGTGGGTAAATTATAAGGTGTCTGGACCTGTAAATATCTTAAAGGCTCGTTGTCCAGCAAGGAGGATCACCTTCTATAAAGTGCATCCACTTTCATATGTCTAAGCTTGTGTGTTATTTTTCTATTAACAAAGATTTTATAATTCTAAATGGAAATCTACTTTTGTCATCTTTTTTAGGTGTGTTATTGTGCCATTGTGTTCCCAATTTAACTAGTATATATGGTTGGAAAAAGACCAGATTCTTTGGTTCTATTTCAATATATAATATCCGTCAATACTTGTCATTTTCTTGGGATGCATTCTCTAAATGATTATTGCACGCTTTCGGTTTACCTCATGTAAAACTTCTGAAACATCGAATTCGTGTTCCATTTGTCAAAAATAATCTTTCTCAACAACTTTTTGTAGTTTCGTTAGTTAGGATTTTGTTCAACAATGGAAGGTGGAAAGAGTTTTGATAGTTGAAGAAGATAAATAATACATTAAGTGATTTGGGGTGTATTTAGAACCTAATAAGGTCGAAATTGTCATTCCACATTAAGGAACACAAGTTATTTAATATTAAATTTTAATGTGATATACATTCAACATTATGTGGAGTGCTAATAAAAAAAACCTTAATAAATAGTCTGAAATTGCACAAAACAACTAATACTGTTCAAGGTTTAGAATAGTTTATAGCCTTGAAGGTTCATCACGAACTCAAGGGTTTAACAACAGACAATGATAAAAAAAAACGTTCAGCTACTAAGCAAACTTTGGCATAATCGCCTTTTCACCAAGATATTTACATTGCTAGCCTTCCGTTTATTTCAACGGACATTTTCCCTTCGGCGCACATAACGGGTTCTGTCATTGTATCTTGGTCTGTCCTGAGCTCTCGAGGGCTGCGGCTCCACCCTCCTCTGCCTCTCAGGTGATCTTTGAACAATTTCTCCATTCACATACAACTCAGCTGCATTGAAGAAAGTTACATGAGTTACGAGGATAGGTTGCATTTAGAAATTTGAAAATAATCGAGATAATTAACAAATTTAAGAACAAGCATCCATTTAAAACAGGGGTGAACTTGGAACGGAGGGAAGCCAATAAGCAGAAAAAGCATAAATCAAAGTTAGCAAATTGAAAGCAACACAGAGTAAACGAGAGAATATGGCATCAAATATGAGTTAAAAGCCTAAGGTGGTTGAAATATCAAATGACAACTTGTCACCAAATGTATCGACTCCAATGATTCCGTAACTCCACAACATAAAGAAGCAACAGAACAGGATGGAGTGGATCATTATGAGTCCATTAGCATTCAAAGCAAATCATCGCCACTGAAGGCTATTAGCTTTGCCAAGAT